TACGTTACTTACTTACTTACTTACTAACTAACGTACTACGTACGTACCGTACCGTACGAACGAAACGTAAACTAACGTACCTACGTACTCTACTCTCTCTCTCTACTCTACTACTCTCTCTCTCTCTCTCTCTCTCTCTCTCTCTCTCTCTCTCGGGTCGAAATCTGGGCCCACCCCCTTTACTACTCTCTCTTGATATGTATTTTCCATACTCTAAGATGAATTGCCATGCCAAGAAGAGAAACTAGACCCTTGCTATCAGTAACACCAGCAAGCTACTGGAGTTCTTCAACACAAAGAAGAGAATTATCCTTTGGTTGGCTCATGGAAAGAGCATCATCCAAATAAATTTATTTGGATAAATCTTCCTCTTCCATGGAAATTTCTTTGTTTCCTGTGTTTAGGCTGCTATCTGAGGTTTCATTTGGCTGCCCAGCACCATCAGATGTTGAAACTGCAGCTGGGATTCTTCTCTGTGTACTATGAAAGACTGTGCTTTGTGATTGTTTCCATTCTTATTCTCCTAAAAGTGATATTGATCATTTGGGTCAGCATTGCCTTTGACATTGCTTGATTTAGAGGGCTCTTGGTCTCCCCAATGCTCTCCACTATCTTCCACCTCTTTCCTTATTTTTAGTTTGATTTTTTGGGATTTTTCTTACTTCTTTTCAATGTGTACATTACTTGGCCAAGTCCACTCGGATTCGGGACTCAGCCGATAACTCAGGCAAGGGCTGACTCCAATGCCCTGGCTAAGTTAATTGAACATTGATCAAAACTGGTCATAAACATCCATCCTAATAATTTCAGGTTACAAGGATGGAAAAGCAACACGCAACTTGCTATTAGCTCCAAAATCAACCCAAGTTAGTATGAATTTCATAAAGCATAATCAATGCATATTAGCGTCCATTATGAATTTCATAATGCATATTAGCATCGATTTAAAATGATGTATATTTAAAATTGCCTAAAATACAAATTTTCATGTTTTAGTTGTTTCACCACTAGAGTTAGATTAATATGCATTGCATAGTCAATGATATTTCAGCTTCCATTTTTTTCCTGAATTATGCACCACCCTTTTTCTTTTTTAAATATCTGGAAGTTATTTTCAAGTTCCAACAAATGAAGTAAACCATAAGAATGATTTCCATTTTTAGTATACGTACCCACAAAACCACCATAATATATCAGTTCCAAACAAAATAAAAAAGAAGAAGAAGAAGATACCAATTCCAAATCTCTAATATTTGTGATATACAAAGCAGGTATTTATATAAATTAAGTCATGAATTTTGCCTTTTGAATAAATTTTGGCAATAGATCTGCTCATTCCCAAATCCTACAGCAGAAAAAAAAGAAAAGCTTGCATCAACTTGATCTCAAGCCTCTGGAACTCCGAAAGTCCTATGCGAAACTGATTCAACCCCCATTGTCATCCATAAAAAACCAAAACACTCGCAAGTAAATGAAGAAATAGAAAGAGAAAACTAATTTTGTACCGCTTTTTTCACCACTTGAGAAGATTCTTGGGCTCTTTCAGTGGCTTCAAACGTTTTCCTGTGACGATTCGTTTCAATATTGCTCCACACATTTATAGCCGCAGTGCAAATTACTGTAAGAAACCCAGCAAAGTTACAAAACAAACAAGAAACAAACTCAAGTTTGACGAGAGAGATGAGCTAAAAACCCTAGAGGAAAGGACAGAATTGGGGAAGTGGTTGTAATCACACCTCCGGCTCCAATGAAAGAGAGAAGGCGCAGAAGCTTGGGAGAAGCCGCTCCTTCTGGAACCATGGCCTCCAAGTCTGATTCATAAACCCTAGCTTTCTCAACTTGAAAATTGAAACGCGTTCTTCTCCTCTATATGGCTTCGACCAGAGGATACAAATTGCTGCCTCTCAGAGCGGGTCCTTACACGGGCAAAACTCACTTCCAGTCCATTGGCCTTGGGAAATCTAGGAAGGAATGTATTTCGTAGGGCTGCCGCTTTATAAAGCCGTACGACGAGGAAGTGTGGTCCGGGTCTGGCCCGACTTGGAGGATGGTTGGCGATTGGGTCTCTCTTGTCGGATTTAGTTATGTTTGGGTCAAAACTCAATATATATATATATATAAACATAATATTTTCTATATTGTATATTTTCATACTATTATATAGAGTGAATATATTATATAGTTTCTATAAGAAGAAATTTATTTGGGATTACACCCTTAATCTATCGAAAAGGGTTGTTCCAATGCAAAAAAACCCTCAAATTGATCATTTGGACATCGAGATGTGTGGATATGAAAAATAATATTTTAAAGTTCCAAAAATAATACATCTTAATACATTATCTAGACCGTTCATTCTGAAAAAATTTATGTATTTGTAGATCTGATTGATCTATACCTATTTTTACTTGTAAACTTTATAATTAGATGTTGAGTAGGTTTACAGGTCATCATAGAAATTTCTAGCACCAAAAGTACAACTTTCGATGAGCTTTGGAGGTAAGCCTTTAGTTAGATTGTTTAAGGTTGACATCTTATCCAAACAACAATATAAAACAAGAAATATGTAGAATATCGACCCAAACTGATCGGTTTATGTCTTGGATGGACTAAGATCCAACCTGGTAATTAGGTCCACACTTTTAGAACCTGACTAGCTCAGGTCAACCTACTCGACTGGCACTCGACAATTATGGATGTTAGTTAAAGAAGATGAATTTCAAGTCCTAAAAATAGCTTTTCTAGTTTCAAATGCGAAAAAATAGTCATGTTGTTCTATTAAAATGTCCAACTTTCATGGTTTCACGTACCAGCCAAATCTACACCACTTATGGAGCTTCAAACACCATAGTCAATGGAGAAATAGATTTATAGGCGACTGCAAGGGTTTTGGCATTAAAGTTATAAATTGTCCATGGGATTTTGATGTATACATTCTAAACCATCCATTTCAAGTCTTCATCGATCTGTCAAATCTGCATCATGTTGGAGCTTCAAATTCCAACATCAGGATTAAAAACTTCTTATTCATCCTATCATTTCAAATATCACAAATTTGATTCTTTCACTGATCTTTAGCGTTTATTTGCTACCACCAAGTCTCTCTATGTATCATTTCATTTCGAATGAACCAAGATGTTTTTATAAGTATTGTGTTTCTTCTTCTTTCTGTTATTTCTAAAAATATTCTTCACGTAAAATATTATATCTTGCTAACTCTGTATTACATCACTTTAAAGTTTTATTATAATAAATCATACTCATATCACACAATAAAACTTTTTAAATGCGCCCTAAAAAGCTCTTTATTATGAGGAATCCAAAGATGTGTCATAACATGCCGCATCTTTTAATTTACTGCAGAATCGGACATGAGCATCCCATGATATCTCTCAACTCATAAAGCGTTTTTCTCGGAATCCTTTTGAGTCTTGGAAAAGACTAAAAAATATAAAATAGTGCTCAGTTCCATCCCTAAATCACACTATTAGCGAGCCTTGGTTTTAGTAACATTTACGTCACAATGCAATTTTCTTAGCAGAAAATCAGATTAAGCACCTCTCAATAAAAAATTTGTTTCTCTCAATCTTCAAATAATTTCTTGTTAAATTCTTTTGTGTTGAAAACTAGACTAAAAAACAAATCATAACATCATAGTGTGAATCCCAAATAATACTTTTCTTCGGAGAAATAAATAAATGAGTAGCATTCACGTCACAAAATAAATCATACTGCAGAATTCCAAGATGAACATTATTTAGTAAAATTGTATTTTCTCTTTACCCTCATAGAAATTCCCTTTAAAATAATTTTTGTTTGAAAATAGACACATAATAGTAACACATATATTTCTATAAGCCTTATATCACTCTGTTAAGTGGGCTTGATAAATATAGCTATACATGTCTTAATGAAGAATATACCAAATTGCAGAAATTTTAAGATGACCTCTCTTCCCATAAATATTTTTTACTCAAATAAATTTTATTAGAAACTAGACTTGAAATGGAAGTCTAAAAACTTAGTGTGATCTATAAAACATTATGTTAAGAATAGAAATAATATCATGAGTTCCAAGTTATGGAAATAGTTTTCGTTGCGGAAAACAACACTTGCGCACCATTCAATATTTCAAACAACAAGGACTTTATTGATGAAGCCTTTTTCTTTTTAAAGTGGACTCAATTTCATGAGTCACAGTAAAATTTTAGAAATAAATAAAATCATATGGTTGGTAGGAAGAATCACGAAACTCAATTGACAGTTCCTAGATTTTGCAGGGTCAGAATTGACACTCTTTATTGATGATTCCATAAGTCTCAATTCCTTTAGGGTCTCCCATTGAAATTTTGCAGTTAGATCCTAATATCAAATACACACAATATCACTTAAGTGTGTAGTAGAAAAATACACCATTATATTCTTCATATCACTGATTCAAAATAGCCCAGAATACCCATTATGCAAAGTGCCTTTTCGGTGTTTGAATATTCCAATAATTCTTTAACCGGAGTATATTACATGACCACAAAGGTCATTAGCTTTCTTATATTTCATTCCCAAGGTTGATCTAAATTCAATAAAGAGAAAAAATAACTAATGGCATCAATTATCATTAGCTCTAATACCAATGAAAGAAAGACAAATACGATATTGCCGGGGAATATATATTTTTCTTTTTCTTTTTTACACCCCTTTTTTTTTCTTTTTCTTTTATTTTGGCAAAGATTACTTACAAGTAGTCTTATTGCAATAACTCTTGCTTCAAAACTAACAAATCCAAGATCTTAAAAACTTTGAGGCCACTAAATCCATTTTCTTTTAATAAAAGAAAATATCCACAATTCTTATGCTTG